GAGGGAGCCGCTGCGTACGCACACTGCCGCCCCGAGAGCGGCTCCCAAGAGCAAAATCCGACAGTCCTCGCTCACAGGGGAACAGGAAGTTTTGTATTAATTTGTTTCATCTGCTTCATTATGTAGTTTCATTACGAACGTCTTGGTTACAATTCTCCTATCTCCGAAACTAGCGGGAAGCAATGTTCCTGTAATGAGGAAAACAGAAATGATCAGATACTACCTAAATTGGCAGATACTAGATTTCTTGCCACTGTGCTAATGCGTAATTCATTTATGCAAACTTAATGTCCATTAACATTTCTTGTAGAGCCCCATTAGCTTTAATAATACATTAGCACCTTTGTGAGGCTTGATCAAATACTTAAGGGGGGGGGATCCCGTCAACGCGGAGGCATTGAAGTCTTGCAGGGTTTCTTCCCTTTGTTTGAAAGGGCCTCAGGTTACCTTTAGGCTTCCTTTCAGAAATTCCTCTCGTCTGACAGGATAGGAGAGGGCTGCTGTTTCTGCAAAAAAGTTTAACACCGTTTTTTCCCCTTTCCCGCTCAAATCAATCCCCTCTCGACTACTTCCATTCGCAGCCTTGCCCGTATGGCATGTGCAAACCGCGGTTACTGGGATGTCCGATGGGGCACACACCACCTTCAGGTACCGCATTGGAGGCTCCAATCACGTCCTTGGTGCAGGTTTCTGCCCTTGGCCCCGGTTTTAGCATCCCCTTGCGTTGCTCTGAGCTGTTGGTGGGAATGGAGCTGGCGCAGAGCCTCCTCGTGAGGTAGGAAAAGGGCTTTCGGGCCGCCTCGGGTTTATGCCCTGGTCCGAATTAAAGCCTGAGCGCGTTAAAAGCCGCTTGTGATCTTTATACGCGGGGACTTGACCCGCGTCAGCCCAGTAGGTGCCTTCCGTGGGCAGCGGCAGATGGCTCGAGAGAAGAGAACCAGCAGAAGAACGTGTCGTGCGTCATCACCTTGCGGCCCCCAGCAATTACGCGACTGCGGGACTTGGCTGCTGTCACGTTGCCTCCCCGTAAGTTCTGCCCGTTCCCACCAAGGGCACGGCAGATCCGGAACACCAGCGGGGCGCAGGAAAAATATTTTTCCCGGCAGACGTTGTATTCCTCTGCGCTTAATGTGTCCAACTCGAGCGTGAAATGCATTGGGGAAGGACAGGAGGATGATGGATGGAGCCTTCTTGGATAATGAGGTATTTTTTTGTCTGACTAAATTTCAGAATGCGGAGAGATTTTTTTTTTTTCCCCCCCTAAGATGCACCTCAAAAATTGTGGGTTGTTTTTGATTTTTGGGGGGTTTTTTCCAAGGAAAAAAAAGGAAGCAGAAAACAAAAACCCTGCATAGTTTGCAAAGCGGGGGAGGGAGGGGTGGGACGCTGGTCACCACAGGAAACTATTCAAAACGCAAGTGCAAAAGGGAACAGAGCCGAAGCCCCGCACAGCTTCTGCCCTTCGGAGGCGGGCGAGCTGGGGATGAGCGCCGGGGGCTTCCCGGGCTGCTCCCCCACACCGTCCGGCCGTTTTCCAAGAAAAAGAGGAGGGAAGGGCACAGAAGTGGAAGTCTGCAAAGCACCCAGCTTTGGTCTGGTTTAAAGACAATTGGTTTGAATGTTTTCCTTCTGCATCGGAGCTCAAAGGCGGCGATTGCAGACCTGGGGTATTGGGGTGGTTGAAGTTTTCTCCGTAACTGGCCCTTGCCCCGGGCTGGGGTTGTGCCGGATTTTCTAAGCCAGGAGGAAGGAGCAGATGATGCTCTTGGAGGGGGAGAGGGAGAGCGATTTCAGGCTCTCTGCGGGGTGGAAGTTCCTCTTGTTTGGGGGTGGGTTTTTTTGCTGCTGCTGCAGTCAGCAAAACCGCGAGTAAGACTGCTCCGTGCCGAGCAGTGAGTTGCCCCGCTCACGGAGTAAGCGATTTGTTGCGTAGATAACGCTGCCAGACGAACTTAGGGCACATTATTAAAAAGGAACGTCTGCTGACGAGCGCTCCGTAACACGTACGGAACCCTCCTGGCAACGCTGCTCGCGAGCAAACGGGGTTTGACGAATGGTGCCACGTACTCAGGGTAACGATAACGATTCCGTGCTTGATTAATAGCCACGCCGCTGGCCGTACAACCCCATGCAACGGGCGGCCGCGGTCCCTTGCACGGTGCAGGTTTGAAAACGTCCCTGACGCCTGGCTGGCCTTGCTCGCCTTTTGTGATTCGGGTCCGCCAGCGAGGGACGGAGGAGAGCGGTGTGCTGAGTGTAATTTTAGAAAGGAAATGAAGCAACAAAATGCATTAAAATACCATTAAGGAATTGAATGGAACCAGATATTCTCGGAGACATTTCAGTTCAGCCTTTGTGGTACTTTTCCTTATCTCATTAGGTGACACTGGAAGTGAAAGTCTCAAAGGCCTGATCTGGCATTTTCTCTGGGTCGGTTTTCCTTTTGCTTTTCTGAAGTCAAAATTAATTGCACGTTCGTTTTTATAATGGCTGCGCATGTACTTCCGAAATACGCGCCAGTGTCTGCTGTTGCGATGGGGGCGAATTCTTTGCACCCGATTATGTTAAAAATTGGCCATGTACGTATGCTGTTGCGTCTCCAGTAATCCTTATATTTCTATCGAGTGCAAATATTAATTGCATAGTATGCAGTGAAGTGATTAACATCAGTGTAATTTATCATCTGGAGATTTCTAAAAACGAATAAATGAGTTGTTTTGTTCAGTGAGGTGTTGACCCCTTCAGAAACTTTGATTTAAAGCTTTTTCTGTTTGTTTTTTTTAGGCTTGGTTTTGTTGGTTTGGGTTGGGTTTTTTTTCCTTTTATAAATATGAAAAGCACTACAATCAGCCAAGTGTTCAGTTATTTGATTTTCTGGGGCATTAGCCACTCTTGTTTGTGACATTTCCCAGTTGGGTGCTCGTTTGCAAGCTCATTAATAAGGTTTTCTCGGAGGAACGTGGTTGGGAGCGCAGGATTGCCGGGGCCAGGACGCAGACTTTGTTTGCCGAGAAGCAAACCCGCCTGGTTTTAGGGTGAAGCTGACCCTCGTATTCGCACCGGGGTGTGAACGTGAGCTTCGCTGACTTCTTTTACTAGGGAAAACCAAACTCCTCCTGCTCTTCCCCCAGGAGCCCAGCGTGGCGAGGCATGGAACCTGCCAGAACTCCTGGGGGATTTTTTGGGTTTTTTTGGAGGAGTTAGTCTGGGCCAGAGAACAAAGCGTGGAGATGAAGAGGTGGGTAAAGCAGCGCCTGTCTGAAGAAGTATTATTGTCTGGGCGATTTTGAAGCTGGAATCGCCTAAAGTGGGCAGGAACCCTGCTTGACCTGCGGGATCCTTCTCCTGAGGATGCCATCTGTGCTCCTCTCCGCCAAGAGACGTGCATCAGGACATTAAGACAGCGCGATCACAAGATGGGTTTCGAAACCTGGAGTCGGTGCCTCGTTTCGCAGTGCAGGCGAGAGAACTTTTGGCCAAGTCCTTGAGAGAAGGTCCTGCTCTGCCAGCCCCAGCCTGCTTTCAGCATACTGCTTGTCCTGTGTGGGTTTTGGTCCGGTTTCCCCCCAAAGCAGCACGTGGGAAGAAAGGCTCTCGGCAAGGAGGGGTTGACTGCTTTTGTTGCTGGCGGTGGCTGGGGAGGGTTAGGAGTCCGCAAAGGCTTAGGGCTTCCAAAAAGAACTAGCGTTTCCCAAAATACGGCGTTACTAGTGACTGTCTTGGTGCAGGTTTCCTGCGTTGAGCTCTCCCACGCATCGCCTGAAGTTCTTAAAAAGTCACGGTTCATAACGTTTACCGATGGCGCCAGGAGCGGGCCAGCAGCTTGCAGGAAGGACTTGGGGCAAAGGCAAGCATGACTCGGGGGGGCGGGGGTTCGTAGCATCGTAGAATCTTTTTAAGGTTGGAAAAGACCTCCCAGGTCACCGAGTCCAGCCATTTTGGCAACTTCCAAACCGGAGCGCGGTTCCCACAGCGCGCCTGTCGTAAAAGGCATCTCATCAAACGCAGAATGGGTTCGTAATAAGTTTTTCAAATTGGTTGCTGCTGCAGCGTAACCTTTAGACTGCTGGTATTTAACCTTGTATATCACTCTTAGCTTTTGAATGAATTTAGCTTAATAAAGGCGCCTTATTAAATTACTAGGCTGGGGTTTTTTAAGCCGCTCGGAATAGACGTACTAGGAAATAGCTTGGGGTTGTTAGATCTAATTGGCTGCCAGTGGAGTATGTAGCGGCTTTGATGCATTGACGCAAGCACTTATTTTTCTGCCGAAATCCAGCGGTACGATATTCTGAAGCTCCCTGGTCGAGGATCTCAGGCTGCTGGTGGTAAAAACTCTGCCGCTGCTTGCCTTACTCCTTAGAAAGCACTGCAGCTTTACCGGCAAAGGCTACCGAATGCCGTGATCCCACCCGCGTAGGAACCGAGCTGGGGACCTCTCGCCGCTTGGCGTTTCCCAAAACTTTACTCACAGAGCCCATAATCTGAAGGAAACATGTGCTGACTTTGATCTGGGACACGTAACCATAGAGCTACAGGTTATTAAATGCACGCCCTTAAAAAAAACACCAAAAAACACAGGAACAAAAGACACCGCCACCCCATTCTTGGTCAAAGCGAGTGACGTCGTTGAGTGCGTGTGCTGCGGAAGCCCAGATTCCTGTCGCAGGTGACGTCTCTCCGGTGTCCCGCTCGGAACGAACGGTGCAGGTTCGCTTTGCTGCTTCGGTCTGTTTAACGAAGGTGCTGGGGCTGGCAAGCTGGAATGGAAGGGCCGGCCTGCAGTAGCCCTGGGAGGGCTCGCTCAGTTTGCAGTTCGGCAAGCCTTCAGCGCATTCCTCCTGATTTCCATAAGTAATTGTCAGCTGGTCAGCAGCTCATTAGAAGCACTAAAATTTATCTAATGAAAACGGGATGGGAGCGGCAGGAGACGCAAGCCGGGGAGAGAGCGCAAGCCGCAGAAGACGTTGCACAGAGCGTTCCCAGCGCGGGGAGCTCGGCGTCCCCGCATACGTCGGGCTCGAAAGGTTTTCTGCTCTTTCTACAGGGCGGAGGATGATAGCGTCCATGTTTCTGGCACGGGCTCCTAGGTCCTGCCGCAAAGCAAATAATAAATAGCGAGCAGATGGCCGGGGAAGGGGGGTGGTGGGAATTGTGAACGAGAACGGGGAGCGCGAGCACAGCGTTTTAAGATGCTGCTTGCGATTTACTCGCTGCCAAATACCTGCTTGAACTCCTCTGTCCGTGTTGTGTAAGCGCTGGCGGACGCAGACCCGGTACGGTGTTTCAGCGCTGCTTTTTGCTCGCCCGTGCTTGTACCTCCCAGCCCCGGACCACCTCGCTGCGATGGTGGAGCACAGGTACACGGGGGACGGGTCCCCGCTCCGGCATCTGGCCTGAGGGCACGCTCGCAGGCTCTTCCACCCTCCCACGAAGGGCTTTTTGCTTTTATTTCCCCCACCCCACCCCAGCTTGTGCCTGGACCGCGCCGGTCCCTTCCGCGTCCTTATTTTGCACGCGCAGAGCCTTAAGCGTGTTTTCAGGCGCGCCGATGTCGCCCGCGTTTCCCGGGGAATTGGGGCTCGACGCCCCCCAAGCATCGCAGTCCCTCTGCGGCTGCCGCCCCCTTCCAGCCCGCAGAAATCCGTAGCTGGGAGAAGCATCTGTAACGGGGATTAGTTTATAAAATGTTTGTGCTACAGTCATCTCAGGAGAGGATTTACTCGTGTAGCGTATTCCATTACTGAAAATTATGAGAGTTTAAATTGGTTAAATCCTGACACGGATTTCCCCCTCCCCATCCCCGATCTCTATTATTCCATAGGAAGCATGTTAATGAGTTAAACACAGTTAATAAAACGCAGCAAGCCAATATTTTTGGTAGCAGTTACTCTCAAAGGAAATAGAAACATTTAAATGGTATCAACCTTTATGCATACTGATTTTTTGCCTGCCTTTGTTCCTTACAGTTGAGTAAAGTCCTGAAAAATATATACGGCTTAATGGCATTGGTGGCGCCGAATTGATTTCTTGCGCTGATAACATTTTAGCTACAGCTTAGATTGCGTTTTTAATCTGTGTTTCAGTTGTGGGAGGTAATGCATTTTTTAATTGTGGACTCCAGGTTTGTGGTACGGCTTTTTTTTCCTCTTCTTTTTTTTTCCTGCAGGGTCTTACTAAAGTGTTTTTGAGCTGGCTCCCTAACTATAAAATGCTTTCATTCTCTGTGTTTATTTTAGGCTTTAGAAGAGCTTCGTTTGGACGAAACAAAACCTCCCGTTGTTTAAACAAAAGCGGCAGAGGCCGTGACTTCTTTTTGTCTTTCTAACGAGCATCTCTTGCAAAGGCCAACGTGCTCACCTGCGCGGATGCCGCGCGTCGATACGTGACGCACTGTAAAACCTCTTGACTCTGAGCGCCACGGATATCTCTGGTTTCCCCTCGAGGCAAACGAGTTCCTTTTAGCATGAGTGACTCCAGAGATAAACTCCAGGGCAGCACAAAACGCATTTCCCGGGGAAGCGCGGCGCTTCGGACGGAGTGCCAAGAGGAGGAGGAGGGTGGCGGCAGCTGCTGTCTCTCGCGTTGGGCAGGCGTCCGGTCCGGTTCGACGCGACGATTTACAAAGCGCTGTTTTTGTCCTGCAGATAAGCCTCAAGTGCGGGTTTCTCAGAATTACCCAGTGCAAGGCCTCACGAGAGAAGGGGAGCCGCTGGAACTGACGTGCGCAGCTTTTGGAAAGCCACAGTAAGTTGGACGCTCCCCTCCCCCAGGACGGGCCGGGTTGTTCCGGCAGCGACGGGGTTGTGCCGTGCAAGCGTGCCGACGCCGTTTGGCCTCTCTCGCCATTCCAGGCGCTCGATAACACCGTTCGTCACCACGAAGGGGATGTAACAGCGTGAGAGAGAGAGATGCTTTCTGCACCTGAGCGCCTGCTGCGCAGTTACGGCAGCTGGTTTGATTTGCTTTGATTCCCGGATAACCACCGGCCGAGGGTTTTCCGCTCAAAGAGCTCCTCGTGGCCGCCACGCAGCAAGCCCTTGGGTGCAGAAGGGAAAGGTCCTGCAACCGTGCGCCTCGTCCCCCGCTCCACCCAGGGAACGGCTTGGGTGGCCATCGGTTGCAATTAATCTGCAATTCAGTTAATTTTGAATCCTAACGAGGTACCGGTACGCCAGGGTTAAGGCTGGCACCGGAGAATCGAGCGCTCGTAAAAGCGGCGTGGATCCCCCAGGTGAGGCAGTCTGTCCTTCTGCCTGTATCGACCACGCGATGATTTTCCTTCCCTTTTTGGTGCCCCGTCTGGTTTTTATGAAATGTAAGTTTTGCTCTTTCTCCCCTTCTTGCCGTGCCCTTGAGGCTTTCTTAGACAGCTGAAGAAATTTATGCATCAGGCAAATCCTGGCAAGGGAGGGTAGATTTTCTTCCACACTTTCATTGTTGTTCTAATTTGTTTTGTCGACTTTTCTTTTTTTAAATATTTCCTCTTCCACTTGGATTTAAGGCTGTCAAGTATTTACTATACTTTTTTTTTTATTATTTTATTTTATTTCCGTCACGTTCATAAGATTTCCGCAAACATCCCTGAAATCTGTCAAGAGTCTCCTTGGTAGCGTGCCCAGAGCTGAGGAGGTTTGGGGTACTGGCATCCTCCACCGTAGCAAACCTCCTCTCCCAGGTGGTTTTGGCAATTCCTGCTTCCCAGTCTCTTCTGACTCCTTCCCCACGCATTAGAGACTGGCCGTTTTAATTTAGGTCCGTTTTAATACCTCTCCCCTGCTCAGATCCCCTTTGCATCCCCCCCCCGTGAGTTGCTGCCGTTCCTCCCATTGGCCATCACCTGGGAATGTAACGAATAGGCTTCTTCACGGGTTTTTTGTGGGTTTTTTTCTTTCTTTCTTTCTTTCTTTTTTTTTCTTTTCTTTTTTTTCTCCTTCCAGGCTATGAATAAGACATACACATGTTAAATAAGACAGACACATCTCCTCGGCAGCATGCCACTTAACGTTATGGTGATGCTAGTAAACGCGCTAGGAATTGGCTTATGTAGGTCACTTCACCTGTGTCTCTCGAAGCGTAGGGAGATAGTCAGTAAAGTAATGGGCTGTGTTTAGCTCCATGTTTTTAAGACAAAGAGTTTTCATGAAACCCTTTATGGAGGTTTAAGATGAACAGGGAAGTTTCTCCGGTTTCAACACAATCGTTTCAGTGCAGAATTGGGCGCTGGCGGAGGGAAGCCCTGAGAAAAGCAACAGACCAGAGAGCAGAAGTGTCTGTTTTGGCGTTACCACAGCTATTTTGTTAGCTTAGACGCAAAAAACCCCGAGGCTATGCCAAAAGCAGGGAGGCAGTGCAACGGTGGCTTCCAGGACACCCGGGGCGAGATGGGTCTCCGAGGAGCAGGCTGCTGTGCGGGGACCCTCGGGACTCCAAAGCCACCGATGGCCTTTAGAAAACCCTTTCCGCCCCTATTGA